TAAATGTTTGTTTTTTTCAATTTTTGGCGTATGCGATCTCGAAGCATATACAAACAAGTTTGACGGTTAGATCGTTGAAACTAGTTTCGTAGAATGCGTATCCCATCAAAACAATATATTCACTAACACTTAAGAGTTTATTCATCCATTAGTGTAAATATTTTAAATTGAAGATCGAATTCATTCATTGTATTCATATAGGGTCAAGGAGTGTAGCTGTAAAAAATCATCAAAATCGGAGTTAAAATAACCGTTAAATCATGATTTTTCGTTTATAACCGTCAAAACGTTTTGTCTTGTTACTTGATCTTTGAATGTTTGTTTTTTGCAATTTTTGGCGTATGCGATCTTGAAGTATATACAAACATGTTTGACGGTTAGATCATTGAAACTAATTTCGTAGAATGCGTATCCCATCAAAACAATAGATTCACTAACATTTAAGAGTTTATTCATACTTTCATCAAGTATAACATAAGATTTTGTGGTATCCACTAGTGTAAATATTTTAAATTGAAGATTGAATTAATTCATTGTATTCATATAGGGTCAAGGAGTGTAGCTGTAAAAAATCATCAAAATCGGAGTTAAAATAACCGTTAAATCGTGATTTTTCATTTATAACCGTCGAAAAGTTTTGTCCCGTTACTTGATCTGTGAATGTTTGTTTTTTGTAATTTTTTGCTGATGCAATCTCGAAGCATAAACAAACAAGTTTGACGGTTGGATCGTTGAAATTAGTTTCGTACAATTCATATCCCATGAAGTTCAATGGTGTGTGTGTGTGTGTGTGTGTGTGTGTGTATATTTATTTATTTATTAAGTAGATTTAAATCTATTTATTTTGTATGTATAATTATTATAGTTTTTAGGGGTATTAAATTTAATTTAAAATTTAATCTATATATATAAATATAATTATTATAGTTAATATTTTGGGGGTATAATTATTATAGTTAATTTAATATATATATATATATTATAGTATTTTTTTAGGGTTATAAAATTATTAAATTAATATTCTACTTATCGTATATCGTGTTACCCACGTGTATACCCGAACCAACCCGTTATCTTAACAGGTGCTTATCGGGTTACCTAATAACGACCCGTTTCGTTATCGTGTCAACCCGAACACCTATTAATTTCGTGTCGTGTCGTGTCGGGTTATCGGGTCGTGTCAGGAATTGCCAGGCCTACTTACAAGGGTGTATTTAATTTATTGATTGTATTGAAATTGACTTCCGAATTCCAATGGAAAAAACCTTAATTCACATTTTAATTCTCAAACTTTTCTATTTTATATATAGCACAACTAGTATGAAATACCTCTGTGAGTCTTCTTAATTTTCAAAATGAGTGGATGACCGTGACTTGCCATTAGTTGTTTTTTTTTTTTTTTTTAAAGAAGGGGATATAGCACCACTAGTATTTAATTAATTATCGCCAAGTCACGTAATTCCTCTCCACTTCAACTTACAAGAAAATTTGGTACGCATCTTGCGTCGACGGGCTCTAACACACAAGCAATGAAGTATATTAAAATAAATCTCCAACCTGTACAAAGAAGAAAATAATTTTAAAAAGTTTCACACCCATTTTTGAAAGAGTGTGCCGGCTGTATACAAAAATTTGTAATATCGTTTGTCTTAATCCGTAAAGATTAGTGAGAGTTTATAGACAAAAGGACATCACTAGCTATCCAAGCTAGCTCTGAATAAACTTTTTATACCAGTAATATAATATATTTTCGACGTGATACTTGTAGGGTTCGGAAACTTAATTTCATCAAGTAATTGACGTAGTATTTTCAAAACAAAACACATAGGATTAGTAAGGATTTGTTGTCTTTTGAATTTAAGATATGAGAAAAGTATATGTATGAAACGAGAAATGAAGAAAGGTGATGGGATATATGAGATAAATAAAGAAGAATGAAATAAAACAAAATCCTTCAACAGAAAACAACTTAAAGTACATTTAATTTTTAAATTTGTAGTTTTCATTCTATGTGTCTTTCCTTGTACATTTCTCGCACCATCATCCTTCATTCACTCTTATTCATGTTCATTTTTTCATGCAATTCCACTATACCACTAGCTAACACAAAAAAAAAAAAAACAAAATGGGTATCAAACACGACTTAAAATTATTGTATTGTAACATTGTTGGTGATATTATAAAAGCAAAATACATTTTAGTACACACAAGCTATTGTAAATCTCATATTGAAGATTTGAAAAAACAAATTACGATTTATATACAAATGGTTCCATTCTTTATTATACTGAGGCATTTTAAGATAAAATCTCACACCTCTTGCACTACATGTGGTTAAGTTGGGGACAATATCGGTGTTGGACCATTTAACCCCTCTCTTTGAAACTTTGACATGGTACTAGAGCGGGTTTGTTTGGGCCTGAATACTGGGTCTGTACTATTTTTGGACCCCACTACTAGGTCTGTTCCAAAGTGCATAGTATTCACGTGTGGATCACTAAAGATATGGTCCCACGTAAGGGGGCGTGTTAGAAATCTATCTAGTAGATTTGACAAAACAAATTACAATTTATATACAAATGGTTCTATTCATATAATTACACCGATGTCTTTTAGGATAAAATCCCACACCTCTTGGGTTACAGGTGGTTAAGCTATGGACAACATCGGTGTTAGACCATTCAACCTTCTCCCTAAAACTTTAATTTAGGCCTTGCTTAACAGAGAGAATTGGCTTGAGTAGGACTACTCAAGATATTGAAGGCATTTTTAAAGAAGAAATGGATGACAATTTTCTTATTTTGTCCAAGTTGAAAATTACTTATGGACAAAATAAATCGCAATTAATCCCCACAAAAAATGATAGTATTAAAATTGACAACTATTCTTTATGAGTAACCATCAACTTAAACAAAATAAACTTATCATTCATTTATTCTTTTAAAATACGTTTAATATAGTAAATAGTTTTATCTAAGCCATTCTCTCTACCAAACGAGAGGCCAGAAGGACTTGGAGGCAGCCACTATGTTTCTGTTCCTTACCAATTGTAAATCTCACTCCTTTTTTTAACGGTCTTCAAAAGTACTCCTGTGAAGGACCCATGAGCATTGAAATTGATGGGTCATTGTGTTGAGTTTTTGGCTTAAAATTAGGATGATGTAATAAATTAGGTTTGTGTTACATATTTGGTTTTGGTGTTCTATTTGGGTTTGGTTTTGACTTCTTTGTTAGTTTCCTTGGTGGAGAGATTTTGTTAATTACCTATTTGATTAGGATTTAGATTTATTTCCTATTAGGATTCCTATTGTAACCTAAGTCCTATGCACTTTAAATAGGACCTTAGGGTTTGTGTATTTTGTGTGGCTCATTCGTGTGGCAATTGATGAGAGTCAATTTGTGAGTTAGAGAGCAATTTAGGAGAATCTTCTCCATTTGTTTGAGTTCTCTACTCGTTTGGTTTAGGGTTTGTAATTTGTGGGATTTGGGTTGTGAGAGTTTAAACACTCTTTTGTAATCTCCATTTGTTTAGTGAAATTCCTCGCCGTGCTTCGCCCGTGGAGTAGGCTTTACGCCGAACCACGTAAATCTCTTGTGTCAGTTTGAGATTGTTTGTTTTAGCTTTCACCTACGACGTTGATATTTGATACTTTGTTATAATTCGCTTCCGTTTGCGCATAAAAGTACAACACATTGTTGTGACATAAAAATACGAACCACACACCGTTGTTTCTCTTTTGCACAAGTAATTTGAAATTAATCACATTGTTCACAAATTGTGATAAAAGGAACAATCTCATTTTTTCCCAAATGTCACAAAGTTGTTAGTTAATTAACTAGGACATAGTTCTTATCCAAATAAGGATAGTGTCATCTACACACTTATTTTTACCTCTTACACACTTATCTCAATTTCCAGTCTTCGAATCGAATAAATAAAAAATCAATGGACAAAAAGTGTGAGATAAAAAAAAATGTGAATAGCACTACCTTAAATAATGTATGTACTCTATATTTCGTTATAACGTTGACATTATTTTGGACATAGACGAATACCATATGTGCTACATATGTACCACATTATCGCATTTTTCATATGGCTTGAATATTCTACTTTCACACATAAATATTGGATTTCGATACATATTCATATTTAATCAGTATAATGGGTAGTTTTTTTTTTTTTTTTTTTCCAAACGATAGATTTTGTTAGATTAGATGTTAGGTTAGCCATCGACGAGGTACATATGTACCACATTATCGCATTTCTCATATGGCTTGAATATTCTACTTTCACACATAAATACTGGATTTTGATACATATTCATATTTAATCAGTATAATGGGTAGTTTTTTTTTTTCAAACGATATATTTTATTATATTAGATGTTAGGTTAGCTTCCGATGGGGTTCGAACCCACACCGTCATGCAAGAACTCAACTCCTTTCCACCAGTGTGGTAAAGGGCCACTTGCAGTATAATGGGTAGTTAACAAGTAGGGGTGTGATATCCACACACCCTTCTAATTTTCGGCATTCAGATCGGATGAATTGAAGAAGATAAAAATTAACAAAGGGTGTGTGGATAGCACACCCCAACAAGTATATTACTCTTAAGTTACATTTTTAAAAATGTGAGGGTTCGAATATGAGACGCAATGAGTTAAAAAATCATACCATATTAATCAAGGCAATCTACCACTTAAATTGAATAAAAATTACTTATGAAAAGATCAATCCATGAGAAATAAACATTAAAATTATATATATATATATATATATATATATATATATATATATATATAATCAACGCAATCTACCACTTAAATTGAATAAAAATTACTTATGAAAAGATCAATCCATGAGAAATAAACATTAAAATTATATATATATATATATATATATATATATATATTTAGAATGAACAAAGAAGAATCACAGAACTGACGAACTTTCCCACCAGCCCAGATGTGAAATATTGGGTTAATTATCCTCAACCGTGCAATCAAATCACACTCAAATTTTTTTCCCTCAGTAGATGATCTATTGATAATGTACAACTTTCTATACCGTGCAGATGACCACACAGAATCACCCCCACCACTCTCTCATTATTTTCCTCAATAACCTACTCGCACCATGCACATACATACAAGGCATTACTAAATATTTCCCTCAGCAGGCATAGAACTCGACTAACTCGTTCAAGGACTCGGGCTGTGGATCGGCATTGTCGAGCATCCACAACAAGTGCTCGAACAGCACGACCTCGCATGCGACGTTGATCGTGTCGTCATCTGACCAGTCGGCCAGCTCCTTGAAAAGCGGGTGGTCTACGATGTTGGAGGCCACAAGGTAACGTCTTCGGGACTTACCCACGTAGACAGGGCGTAGGTCTCCTGAGATTACGTCCGTGGAGTAATCGTCATCGGCGGCGGAGACAACAGAATTGAGGCTGCGGCGGCTGTTCTGCTTGCTGAAGGAGTTCCACTTCTTCAGTACTGACTTGAGCTTTGTTAGCTTCCCACCTTTGGCCATTTGATATGAATAATGGTTTTTTTCACAGAGAGAGAGAGAGAGAGAGAGAGAGAGAGAGAGAGAGAGAGAGTTGAGTAGCGCTGTGTTGCTTTGGGGGGATTTAGAAAGGGGAAGGAAGGTTCATATTTAAAGGGAACTTAGGTAAGGAAAAGGGGTGTAGTTGTAATATCCTTATATTATTGGGCCTAATTGCATGAGGAAATTTAAAGGGATTATTATGTGTTCTGTGACATATTTTCTTTTTAGAAATTATAAAAGAAATAGATGGGCACTTGCGGCGCAAACAATCAACTTCGCAATGTATATGTAATCGGTTGTATAATTCAAGTGATTAAGAATATTTTCTTTTACGTATTTTGATTTTAATTTGATTCAGAGTTTAGTATCGTAGATGTAATAATGTGCTTTCATTTTTCTCAATTACGAACATTTATTCTAATTTTATTCAAAATTTGGTAACATAGATGTGAGACCGTACTTCCATTTTTCTTAGTTAACATAAAAACAATATGACGGAAAATGTTTATTTTTATTTATCAATCTAATACATATGAGAGTTTTCTTCATCATTTAGCTACACTTTTTTAGAATACATATATATATATAGAGAGAAGTTAGGTTCACATCCTTCTTTTTGCTACTCCATTGATTAAAATCCTATTTATTTTCAATTTTTGATCAAGGTCCTTGGGTATTAATAACATCATTAATTATTTGAATAATAAAATATTTTTATTTTTAAATATATTCCTTTAGTGTTAAAAATGTTAAAATTAGTATATTTATATTTATGGCTAAATTTTTTATCATATATTTTTATTTTTAGTTTGTACCTATGTCACATCCCGGCCCGGGTCCACCACATCCCGGGCCCGTTCCACCACCGTAGCACAATATTGTCCGCTTTGGGCTTACCATTCCCTCACGGTTTTGTTTTTGGGAACTCACGAGCAACTTCCCAGTGGGTCACCCATCATCGGAGTGCTCTGGCCTCATTCTCGCTTAACTTCGGAGTTCATACGGAACCTAAAGCCAGTGAGCTCCCAAAAAGCCTCGTGCTAGGTAGGGATGAGAATATACATTTAAGGATCACCCCCTGGGCGATATGGGATGTCACAATCCACCCCCCTTAGTGGCCCGACATCCTCGTCGGCACACTTCTTTTTGGGAACTCCCGAGCAACTTCCTAGTAGGTCACCCATCCTAGGAGTGCTCTGGCCTCCTTCTCGCTTAACTTCGGAGTTCCGACGGAACCCGAAGCCACTGAACTCCCAAAAGGCCTCGTAATAAGTAGGGATGAGAATATACATTTAAGGATCACTCCCCTGGGCGATGTGGGATATCACAACCTATTTTTAATTTGTACCAATTTTCTTTTCATTTTTATTTGTACCCATATATTAGTTTTTTTTTGTGCTCATATTTTTTAAAGTTTTATTTGTGTTTGTATCCATGTGTATACCGTCACGTGACATTATATATTTAATCCATGATAGAAAAATTGCATATGGTATATTTATGTTTTATGCCTAAACTTTGTATCATATATTTATATTTTGAGTTTGTACCCACTTTTAATTTGCAACATTTTTTAAAATTTGTAGTATTTTCTTTTTAGTTTTATTTTGTACCCATGTATTAATTTCTTTTAGCACCTATATTTTTTAAAAATTCATTTGTACTCATAATTTTTTAATCTTTTATATGTACCCTAATTTATTTATAATGTACCCATTCTTCTTTATTAATGTACCACCTTGTTATATGTGAAATGTACCAATTTTTTTAACACTATGGATACATTCTTTTGCCATTTCTTATTTCTTATTTTTACATAGTTTTTATCCATTTATTCAATCAAAATGTTTGAATTTTTTGTATTATAACCGTTTCTAATAGTATTATAATGAGGGATTTTAAATTTATAGGATTATAAATCTCATAAAATATCAAACAATTAATGTCAAAACTATAAAAATATAAATATTAATTGTAATATAATGAGGTGTACAAAGTCAAGGGACTTTGATCAAACTTTGAATATCATTAAGGTTTTAGTTAAATAATGTTAAAGATTAGGTACCGCATCCAAAGTATCCATAAGTATCCATATATATATATATATATATATATATATATATATATATATATATATATATGTTATGAACGATATATTTGTGAATATATCATCGGTAAACTTAACTACACTTTTAAAAAAATTGTGCAGTTAACCATGCACACTGAAGAGCTGGCCCGACCTAGGCCCAGTGCGGGCAAGGCGACCGTTCGGGACCCAAAAAAATTAGGGGAATCAAAATTATTGGGGTGGTATATTTATATATGTTTTTATAAGAGTATAAATTTATAAAATTTGGTTTAGTGACAACAAAATTTAACTAGAACTGGTGGTTTTGTTGTTTAATATTAATGAGGATGAGATCTTAGGTTCAAAACACCATGTGTGTTTATTTACATTCCAATTTTTACAAATTTCTTTTTGTAACAGTATATAATTATAAAATTTGGCTAAATGATCAAGAAGTTTAATTAGAAGCAATAGTTTTTGTTGTTTAAAATTAACGAGAGGTCCTACGTTCGAAATGCTATGTGCATGTTTATTTTTTTCAATTTTTACAAATTTTTGTTTGGTTGTTAATTTATTTACTAGCTAGTAGCTATGTGGGTTGCTATTTACTAGCTAGGCTAAAATTTTAGACCAAATTTGCAAATAATATTACGTGTCATCAAAATGTTTAATTTAATATTCATTTATTACTTATACATATCCTTAAAGACTCGAAAACATTATTATTTTTTTGGTCTTATGTTGACGAGGTTAGTAAATAAGAAAAAATACCTCACGATTTATACGAAAACACTTTAAAAGTTCAGATGGAAAACAAAACTCATAATATATCTACTTGTAAGCCCGAAGTTTTTTGGTTTCTTTCTCTCGATACAAAATAAATTAGTTATTCCGTGTTTCTAAATTATTGAATTTGAAGTATTTTTCTAAATATAATTTTATCGGTGTCTTACGTGTGAAAACAAATAATTTTTTTTATATGAAATGAGGGTACATTTTTTGGCATCGTCCCGGGCCTCAAAAATCTCTGGACCGGCCCTGCTGAAGAGTAATTACACTTATTTAAAATAGTCAATTAAATTCAGTCTTATGACATAAACATATAAAGTTGTTTAGTAAGCAAACATTACTTATGTTGGCTTTTGGCACATAGTGCCTTCAAACTTTGGTTGTTGCATGACGCTGACTAGAAGGTTGTTGGTCTCCATGATGGGAATGCATGTATATTGATTCCTTTTATAAAAACAAAACTGATTTAAGTCTAATATTTTCCATTTCAATTTTAAATTACAAAAGTATTGTCAGTGAAAGAGACAGACATGTGCAGATGGTGTTACCAAGAACGTCTTCGTCAAATCGATCATCCATAATTTATTTGTTTGTATGAACTTGTTTATTGTTTTATTTCTTCTGGTAAACGGTTTGAGAAGGTGAATTAAAATTATTGAGAATTAAGAAGATGATCGTTGCCTCCATCTTCCAGAATATGGGCGCCAACAGCTGGTAAGTGGTAACAACTAACAACCTTCATTTTCAATATTATCAAAAAAGACAAGTGAATTAATTAATACACTGTATACAGGTTGAAATTGTCATATGTATTCAACTATTATATATATATATATATATATATATATATATATATATATTCAAATGAAAAAAGATTAGACGAGATTAGTCATTCGGCTATGATCACATGCGATGCATCTTTTCTCCCTCAAAGGGTTGAGAACCATTACCCTCAAAACCCACCCGCCTGTCCATTCTCCGCCATTTTTTTATAATAAATGATAGTAAACAAAAAAGATACATGCAAAGGAACTATGCCAAGACTCGCAATGACAAAAACGATTAACAAAAATGGTAAAAAAATGTCACGAGCATGAGCAGAGGCTACAAAATCTGAAATTGTGGACCACCAGTATAAGCATAACTATCTGTCCTAAAAGAAGCTAAAACATCTACAAACTAATTTCCTTCTCTATAAATATGTGTACACATAAATCACTTTTGACGAAGTCTCCGAAGACAATTCTTCCAATCCACCATAAGTAACCACAAGACTCCATTAGGTGCCCTAAAAAGATTGTAAATACATATATGAAGTTTGTTTTAATCCATAAATGAAGGCAAAATATGATGCTTTTAACTCCTTGCACTTTCTTTTAGAATAGTCATTAAAGAAGGAAATTCGAACTTGAGAATTTAGTGAATCAAGGTCATTTAACACTCAAACAAAGTTGTATTTTTATGATGAGGTTAATTACAACTAGGTATCAAACTATTACAAGTAAATATTTTTGTCAGGTTCACGCGAGTAGAGTTCAAACCTCCTTCAACAAAGTAACGACAACAACAGCTAATTAGTACGTTAGAGCATCCCAGTGAGGGGTTCTATATGAGGTTGGAAAAGTGATGGATATAACCCATTTTAGAGTTCTGAGGAATCTTTGGAGTTTTATAAAATAAAATAAAAAATCTCCCAGTGAGGGGCTATTTCTTTCAGGCTCTACATGGGGTTGTATATATTTATTTATGTAATAATTTGATTATGCAATTTTTTTTTGTGTTAACTTTTCTTAAGTTGATTTTTAGACGTGTTATCTTAATTTTTTTTTTAATAAACCTTTCAACTTAAAAAAGTTCAAATTGTGACAAAGTTAGATTTCATCACTTATAATATCTCAATCTCAGCCGTTGAATGATACAAACCCCCAACTTTGCCCTATGAAATAATTTGATTTTCACGTACAACACAACAATTTACCTAGCACCAATTGGTAAGTTAGTCTCATACAATTTTTGAAAAAAAATTATTTGAAAATTTCACCCCACGTGGATTTGTGCAACTAAGTATAACTAGAGTGTTAATGGACTCATAATCTTGTCAAATTATTTCGAATATTGTGTCCAATAATGGTTCATCCTAACCTGATATTTAACTAATTGCATTTTGATGGATTATCTATAAAATATTACTGTACTAGATAATCCTAGATGTTTTAATCATGTCATGTTCTCCATAAATCAGTTTAAACAAATTTGTCGTTTATGTCTTTTCTTAAACTTAAAACCTCTTCTAACATTAAGAAAATAAGGAGCATGCATTACACTAATAACTAGTTGACACTCGTATTATGTATGAGTTTCTGTCAAAACTCTATCTTACAAACTTTGTATTAAAGGAAAACTAATGAAAAGAGTTTGAAAAGTTTGAGTTTTAATGATAAGAACAAAATAAAGGGTAAAATGAATAGTACCAGAATTGACTTTTTAGTGTAAAAATGTGGTTTTTCGTTAATGTGAACAATACTGAGAGCTTTTCGTTAAAGTTCCCTTGTATTAATTGGTTATGTTAGTATCTTAATCACGAATTCAGATCTTCTTTGAATCTCATAGTCCGAAGCCAACGGACCAAAAAATCTAACCACTTATTTTAAATTATACTCCATTAGCTCATTTCACCGACCCACCTCACACAAACTAATGGTCTAAACCTCTCTCTCCCTCTCTTGAATGGTCCAGATTACTCCATCCGTCGGCTCTGGATTGTGAGATCCGGGAAGGACCTGATTTCCAATTGTAAACAATACCACAAAGGCACAAAGTAAATAAGATACTCAAAATCGAAAAAAGAAAGTAAATGATTTAGGAATTTAGATCATTTCCAAATCTTATGGTCTGAAGCTGACGGATCAAAAAATCCTGACTACTTATTTTAAATCCTCCAACAAATTAAAGAAACATATTAGTGGAACCACAGTTGATTTGAGAAGCTAGTAAGCTACGAATTGAAGAGAACATTTGTAATGATTGAAGCACATACAAGCAACGAGAAACATGGACGCCGAACGTAGTCATGTCATGTTGTATCCAATGATTTAGTTCGTAATTAATTAGTGATAACATCATGACCGATGCATAGTATATTATCGGACTTAGTAGATCAATTTCTTAATCATTCATTCATTAGCTCTGCAGATAATACATGTCTACTTAAGCACTAATAAGACGAACCTAATCTCCAGAAGGGAACAAAGATTAATGGATTAAACACAGCAAAAACGTGATACGTGGTTGAGAGTAATTGGGAGAGAAGGTGTTCAAGATTCTTTGTGTCCTCCTATATATTCATACGTCAGTTTATATTTAGTTGTTTCTATACAACGTTATATTTACATCAGGTAGGTGGGGTGACATCGGTTAATTAACGACACAATGATTAGTCATAATGATATGATATCAAACTTGTTGTATAATAAAAACAAATCAAATTAAAACATTTCACTTACAAACAACAAATACTACTAATTAAACAATAATTTCCTTTTGTTCGTCAATTCGAAAGCAATGTTTCATGATGGGCCAAGTAAGTTTGGTCATAATCAAAGAGCAGAAAATGATGTGATTAGACTGATTAGTAGAGATATGCAATCTGATTCTCTGTTGGAGACACAATCTCATAATCTGCAGGTGGGTATGTATGTGACAAAGAGCATATGAACAAATCTATGCCACATTTCGTGAACAATATAATTATTTGCTCTTTCCTATCAAGCAAAATAAAATAAAAATTATTATATATATATATACAAGAAAATTTTCGAAATTGATTCCTACTGATTGGATAAAATAAATTGGGACAAAATATTAAAAGATATTGATTGGATTGAACATAACTAAGTAGATACACGACCTCAATATGATGTCTCTCTATTTCTGTAGCAATGGGCAATAATATATATAGGTTCCAAATCATGTGCTTAGGAAAATCTGGTCGACCTCATGTAAACATTAATGCAATTATCTTATCATATATGAATCTGGCTATGTTATCAGTTTTGTCTTGCTGCCTTCTGATGCTCATATTTATCTGTTATCATGGGCGTGAAAAATCAAGGCATAAGATAAAATATTTACTGACATTGTGTTTGATCATGCATCAAGCTCAATACTATAATATGTTGTGCAAATTGTTTTTGTAAAGTAAATGGAAAACACTATAAGATGATGTAGTAGATGTTATTTTCTATGTAAAAGCGGTATTCTAGAACAAATTCATCTAAACTACGGCGAGAGAGATTTGAACTCAAGTGCATAAGAGAGAGAACATTGTTTTAGTATGATGTAATAGATGTTAGTTGATTGAATTGTTACACTTCCTTTCTCCAACTCGGGTTATGTCCCACTTAGTTTTCTCGAGGTAAGGTTCTAATGATGTAAAGGATTGTAGAAAATTTAGCTTCTTCCGAACAAATTAGACTTTGCCATAATGTAAAGGAAAAACATTTTTCTTTTTGTAGTTTTAATATGATGATTTTGTATGTGTGTTAAATTGATGTTTGCAGTTAAATGAATAACTTCTTACATGTAAACGGGCAAACAATGTTGGCCTTCCCCCTTGAACTAAAACCTAAACCTCCCCAACGTGCTGTTGGAATCGAAGGATTTGAAGTTGATGATGAAATTGATTTTACTGGATAATGATGGTGGGCCTGCCTAATGGGTTTCATCAAGAAAAAATCCATAAGTGGACTATGCCAACACTAACAAGAGGCTTGGACTCTTGGTAGGTCCGTTTGAGACTAAAATGTGGGCTGGCTACAATAAGCCCGTTCAAATCGAAGAGTACACTTGGGCCACGTAAGAAAAAATAAAAACCCGTATCATTCAATGCTACGAAAATATACAGAAGAAAAATTACATAACTAGTGAGAAAAAGAAAAGAGGGATTTTACTTTGCGGGCATATCACAAATGATCATAACGTTATGTTATTAAATCAAAACGTCACTTTAATCGTGCACCCCATACACTGAGTCCTTCTCCTAGCACGTGGAGCCTCCAGGGCGCACTTTATAGCTGGAAAGCGAGACTTGTACCACAAGGAACGGCCTCCCGCAAATATACGGACCGTCCAAGTTTCTGCATTGGTTGCTCTCGTAAAATTCCTCTTAAAATATTAATTGAAAATATGGACCGTTGAAGCTCCTTTCTTTCGCTCCCGCCTCTTCTTCTTTTCTGACCAATCAGGTCGGATCCCTCCAACCTACTTTCCATCCACCGTCTTCTTCTCCACCGTCCACGTCTCTCTCTGTCTCTCTCTCTCTCACTTCTTCCTCACCAGAAAAAAAAAAAATCAAAAGTTTTCGAAAACCCAAAAACGATGAGCAATCTGAGCTCGAATCTCACCCACCAGTCTGCCTTCACTCCCCGTTTCTCGCCCAGGCACGCTTTCCAGATCCACGAGTTCCGCGTCTTCCGCCGCCGCAGACTCAAACCCGTCCCGCGAAGCCAACTCGGAATCGGAATCCCATTCCACGAATTCATTTCCCGATTCCCGTCCCCCAATTCCCTCGAATTCATCGCTCCGGCTCTCGGATTCGTCTCCCGCGCCGCCCTCTTCCTCTCCAACAATCCGAACTCGAACTCGAACCCGAACTCGGTCGAGCGGAAATTCGACTCGGATATCGGGGAGTGGGTTCTGTTCACCAGTCCGACGCCGTTTAACCGGTTCGTTCTGCTACGGTGTCCGACGGTGTCGTTTCAATGCAGCGAATTGCTAGAAGATTTGAACGAGAAGCTGGTGAAGGAGGACAGGCACTTCGTGCGGCTGAGTAGCGGCAGAATCCGATTTGATTTGGGAAGCGAAACGGCAAGTTTAGTGGAAAAGAAATTCGAGTATCAGAGACTGTGTATAAGTACGGACGACGGAGGAGTAATATCTTTGGATTGGCCAGCCAATTTGGATTTGAGAGCAGAGCATGGCTTGGATACCACCTTGGTTCTCGTGCCGGGCACGGCAATGGGAAGCTTGGATTGGAGTGTCAGGTCGTTCGTGTGTGAAGCTCTCCGGCAAGGCTGCTTTCCGATTGTTATGAACCCGAGGGGCTGTGCTGGTTCGCCTCTCACCACTCCGCGGTATGTTCATTCACTCAATCAATTCAGTGAGACTAGGATTATGTGTTTGTGAATTGTAGTTCAAAACTTGAAATAATGGGTTATGTCTGGAAATTTAAAATCTTGGATTGAGTATTGCTTTTATTATATATAGCTAAGAAATGGATCTGCATTTGTTTTGGATTTTATGTTTTGGAAGGCTAGGATCATGTGTTTGTGAATTAAAGTTCAAAACTTGGAGCAGTCATGGGCGGAGCCACATTGGACAGAATGCGTGTGCTCCCCATATGCACCCAAGTTCGATTCTCCTCATAGTTTAGCTTATTTAAAGTAGAATATCGCTTGTATAAAGGTCGTACCCAGTGCACAAGGCTCCCGCTTTACGCAGGGTCTGGGAGAGGTGAATGTCGGCTAGCCTTACCCCCATTTATGGAGAGGCTGCTCCCAAGTCTCGAACCCGAGACTTACCGCTCATGGGTGAAGGCACTTGCCATCGCACCAAGTGCGACCTCTCAGAATATCGCTTGTATCAAAAAGTTTAAAACTTGAAAATTTATGGTTGGAAATTTGGTATCTTGGATTGAATATTGCCTTTGTATATATAGTTAACGAAGTGGCCTGCGTTTCTTGTGGATTTTTTTTTTCTTTCTGTTTTTGGATTTTGGGAGAATCACAAAGTGGTGATCGTAGGGCTACTTAAGCTACTTCATGTTATGTAGGTTATTTTCAGCTGCTGACAGCGATGATATCTCCACTGCTATACAGTTCATCACTAAGGCGAGGCCGTGGACCACATTGATGGGTGTTGGCTGGGGTTATGGTGCTAACATGTTGACGAAGTACCTGGCAGAAGCTGGGGAGAGCACACCGCTTACAGCTGCCACCTGCATTGACAATCCTTTTGACTTAGAGGAGGCCACTAGGTCCTCTCCTCATCAGACGGCTATTGATCAGAGTCTCACTGATGGTTTCCTAGATATTCTAAGATCTAACAAGGTGGTTAATCAGCTGGAAACTTCTACAATAGTGCAAATTCATTATCTCTCAGGCTTTCCATCTATTACGAAACAAATTTCTACTTATTTCTTAATGTGGTTGCCATCTAATTATGTTCAACCCTTTACTTTGCGAAAACTATCCCTTACCGCTAGTAATTTATGCTATATGCATGCCTGGTTTTGTAGGAACTGTTTCAAGGAAAATCAAAAGGGTTTGATGTGGAACAAGCGCTTTCAGCAAAATCTGTTCGTGATTTCGACAAAGCAATCTCCATGGTATCTTATGGTTATGAGGCCATTGAGGATTTTTATTCCATATCAAGTACAAGAGGTGTGATTGGGAATGTGAAGATCCCCGTCCTATTTATACAGGTGCATACGTAGTTGTCAACTCAATGCTATGTTCTTCAACATTGACAAAAATACTTGTTTATTATACACTGATAGTTAAAATCTGTCAATTTATCAGAAAGATGATGGATCAGCGCCACTCTTCTCAGTTCCACGTAGTTTGATAGCAGAAAATCCATTCACAAACCTACTGTTGTGGTCTTATTTGCCCTCTACTGTTACTGATAGTGGTAGATCTGCTATGTCGTGGGGCCAGCACATAACAATTGAGGTAATCGTTGGTTTTGTTTCTCTTTGAGGTTAATGAAATTTTGTTTATCACTGTATCATTAAACCACTTCATGCTGAAGATTTTGACAGAATCTAAGTTTGCATTCTGATATTCTGATAAGAATGCATGTGGTATGTGCAGTGGCTCACAGCAGTAGAGCTTGGACTTTTGAAGGGCCGTCACCCTCTTCTTGAAGATGTAGACCTACCCATAGACCCTTCAGAAGGTTAGCTCTTGTGGAAGGCAGACTGTCCAACAATAGTGGTTCCAAGTTGTTGGATCTTGCCCATTCAGATTCTTTAAATGGATATTCTGCAGGTCCCGCAGACAATATGCCTGAAGAAAATGATACTGCTGCTAGCTTCAGGATACGATCCAGAAAGGACTCCGAGAGAAAGTCAGAGGTCCAAAACACAGGGTTGCAGGATGTGGAAAATGGTTCCCTGGATCAGACTAACTCTGATGATCGAGAATTGGTCAATAAGGAGGAAGTCAATCCTGTAGATGAAAAAGGTCAAGTACTACAGACAGCAGAAGTTGTTATGAACATGCTAGATGTAACCATGCCTGATACTCTTACAGAAGAAAAGAAGAAGAAGGTGGTGCTCGAAATAGCAGTTTCATGCTATTGTTTTACTTTTGTGGTTGTTTTAATGTTAATTTCATATGTTAATTAGGGTCTCTGATCTTCTCTATGTATGGTTCTGGTCTATCCAAATCAAATAATGTACCCGATTTAAATTTTATCTCACATTTATCTGGTATATGGGCCCAGGTCTTAACAGCAGTTGATCAAGGAGACACGCTGATGAAAGCTTTGCAAGATGCAGTGCCGGAAGATGTTCGTGGAAAGCTAACATCTGCTGTTTCTGGAGCTCTGCATACTCAAGGAACAAAGCTAAAGTTTGATCAACTCTTGGGTATTGCTCAGTTTCCTGACATGTCTTCAGGTCTAAAGTCAAAGATCGAAGACAAGGTCATTGAAACATCAAGTTCAGAAGGTGTACAGAAAGAAAATCGTTCGTCAGATCTGTTGAAAAAGGATGGTGATCTGGTGGATAGCTCAATTAACAAACTACCGGATGCAAACAAGCCTCCAGGGGGACTAGAATCAGAGGATCCTCCCGCAGACGGATCAGAAAAGATTTCAAATCTAGACCAGTCACAATCATTGAGCAGTCAGGCAAGTGATACTTCTGGTTCTGTCGGAAAGGACTCTTGCAAATCAGGAAATGATTCTTCCAAAGAAAAGGCTTCCGAAGATCTTTCCAACAGTGAAAAGAGTTCAAACCTAGATCAGTCTCAATCATTGAGCAGTCAGGAAAGTGATAGTACTGGTTCTGTTGGAAAGGACACTAGGGAATCAGGAAATGACAAGTCTTCCAAGGAAAAGGCTCCTGAAGATCTTTCCAATAGTGAAAAGGGTTCAGAACTAGAAAAAAATCCTAACAATTCCAGTCAGGTTGAAATTGTCGGTGGCACTGAGGAAGCAGTTGTAGAGGAGCAGAGAGACCAAGATGGTAGAAACGCTCCGTCAGACACAAAGAAAGAAGAAAACAATATCCAGAAGAAGGATAATACAAATGTGCAGCCCGTGGCGGACCAAAGTAAGAACTTCAGCGTTTCTGAGGCATTGGATGCATTGACAGGGATGGATGATAACACCCAAATGGCAGTCAACAATATTTTTGGTGTTATAGAAAATATGATAACTCAAACGGGGGAGAGTTCAGAACGGGAAAGTGAAGTAAAAGAAGTTGATTCTGTGGCACAGTCTGAATTTGCAGAGGACCATGTCAGTGATGACAATAGTCAAGAAGATTCAGAAGCCAGTAAGACTGAGCAAAATGTGCAAATGGATACATTAAGCAATGTCCATGTATCTGATCACCCTGGGAATGGTATGGATTTGCAACCTGATGCACCAAATGGATGGGTAGAGAAGTCTAATCATACCCCCCAGTCAGCTTATAGGAATGCTTTGAACAGTTCTCAGGGAAGTGATGCAGTTAACAATGTAGATGATGATAAAAGTGAAAAGAAAGATGAATTGGTTGGTCCAAATCTTCTTGCTGGAAGTGTAGACAAACTTAATCATGTAAAGAAGGCTCCAGTTTCCATAACTTCAATTCCGAATGGGGTGAATACTCTTCTTTCAAAGGTATCTGACAAATCACTTGATTTAGATTCAACCACCGCTCTGTTGTTGGACTATTTTCCAGAAGAAGGTCAGTGGAAGCTCCTAGAAAAACCAAGACATGTTTCCGATGGTACCGTTGCAACTCATAGGGGTGTTGACAGTAAGATTCACACCCATTCACCTGCAAAGGTAAATGGTAAAGTTATCGAACCATCATATGCAATATTAGATACAGAAAGGCATCAGGAACCAGTGAAAGAGTATGAAACGGTGGAAAATATTGAGGGGAGAGTCAAAATTGGTGAAGACAAAGTAGGGGAGTTTATGCGATTTGTGAAAAATATTATATTGAATACTTTGAAGATTGAAGTGGGTCGCAGACTAAGTGCCGATGACATGAAAAATATGGAACCCTATCTTTCCAAAGATATGGAACAAGTGGCTAATGCAGTTTCATTTGATGTTGGATACGACACGTATGCTCCATGTTTGGAAGTTGAATACCATAGTATTATTGACTGCACTACAGAAAAAGTTGGTACTCTCCATGGTGAGCATATAATAAGAGCCATATCATCTTCTGTTCAGGGCACTAGTTACTTGAGAAGAGTGCTGCCAATTGGTGTTATAGTAGGCTCGAGCCTAGCGGCACTGAGAAAATATTTTGATGTGGTTACAATCCATAACTATGGTCAAATAGAAGCTCTGACGCTTAGTCGAGCAAAAGTATCTGGAAAAAAAGATCTGGGCAAGGCTAGTGGCACAGAGATTCACCACATGCCTGTTGATAAATATGATCAAAGTGCTAGCTTGGACAGTTTAGTTAACAGGGAAGGGAAAAAGAACTGGTTGAAGAAAATAAACAACAGTGTTATGGTTGGTGCTGTTACAGCTGCCCTAGGGGCATCTGCATCTGCGTTATTCGTGGAGCACCAGGTAATATGTTCATTTCTTCAGACATTTTTAGTTTTATAAAATGGTAGCTATACAAGTAGATGCCCATGCAAAATTGGTTTTAGGGCTTTTATTTCTTGAACTACTGCCCAACTTGGTAGTTACTAGACAACCTAGTGTCTTCTTTGACATTAACTTGCGGAAATCCCATTTGTATTGAGAGAGCTTTACCATGATTATTTCCACTGTTTATTATGAACTGGTTCAAAATCAGTTATTTTGCATTTACCTTCCTTTTGGTGTTGTTCTGTTATTCTTATCAGTACGAGCGCTGCCTAAGATGATGTCCATATCACTATGTCAGATCCCATTGCCTTATCCTCTATTTTTGTGTTTATTTGAATTTGTTCTTTGTGAAGACAAAGTCAGCTGACTTTATCTATTTTTATATGTTGCTGCTTATTATGCTTATATACAAACACACAGGATTCGTACAAAGGTGATGAAACTTCTGGCGAGAGTTTGTCCAAGTCGTTGGTGAAAGGTAAAGGTCAGAAGGAGCCTGACATGTTTGAGGAGGCTGAGAAAAACCAAAGTAACATTGTCACAAGTATTGCTGAGAAAGCCATGTCAGTTGCTGCTCCCGTGCTACCCACCAAGGAAGGTGGTGAAGTAGATCAAGAAAGGTATTAACACAAGATATATGTATTTCCAATATATACAGACGTACCACTACTTTCTTTTACTAATTTTGTAACCCCTTTGCAAATAGATTAGTCACAATGTTGACAGATTTGGGACAAAAGGGTGGCATGTTGAGGTTAGTTGGAAAAGCTGCTTTGCTTTGGGGTGGTCTACGTGGTGCGATGAGTTTGACTGACAAGCTTATCCAATTTCTTGATATACCTGAGCGTCCCTTAATCCAGAGGTATTGTGTAAGTTGTCTTGAGAGTAACTAGATAGTTTAATTCTAATTACTGCTTTAGAAAGGCAAAAGGGAAGTCTTTATCTCAAAATTATTCGGGGTTCAAATTTCTATGTTCAGGAGGTTAATCTTCCATGCCAGTCCATATAGACTATCAAGAGAGTTTCAAATTGGAATTTTTATCTGTATGTTGCATCATGCATTCGTGAAATCAGAGATCTAATTTCATATAGTTTGTTGGGTTCCTTTGGTTTGCATGGTGATCTTTTTCCATTTATGCACAGATTCTGTTCTTGATTATTTTATTTCCTGATATGCTCTTTTATCCTGATTTGCTTCTGTAGGATTTTTGGGTTTGTCGGTATGGTTCTTGTTTTGTGGTCACCAATTGTTGTTCCACTACTTCCATCATTTTTGCAAAGCTGGACAACCAATACATCCTCTAGAATTGCTGAACTTGCTTGCATTGTTGGCCTCTACACGGCTTTTATGATACTTGTTGTGATATGGGGCAAAAGAATACGTGGATATGAAAGTCCTCTTCACAGATATGGGCTAGATTTAACGTCATTGCCAAAGGTATGTGTTGGCTGAAATTGTGGACATGTACTCTAAGATCATGCAAAATAAGTTAGTGTTCTTTACTTGCAGTTGTATGATTTTTCATCTCCTTGCTTGCAGTTAGGTGATTTTTTGAAGGGCTTGGTTGGTGGAGTTGCCCTTGTTTTGTCAATACACTCAGTAAGCGCACTACTTGACCCTGCAAATCTCTCTTGGCCCTCCACTCCATCTTCTTTGGATGCTGTCTCACAGCTCAAAGTGTGTACGCAAGGGCTTGTGATGGTTGGTCAAGGAGTTATAGTAGCTACTGGTATTGCTCTTGTGGAAGAATTGTTTTTCAGGGCATGGCTGCCCCAAGAAATTGCTGCAGATCTTGGATATCATCGAGGAATAATTATATCAGGACTTGTGTTCGCTTTATCCCAGAGGTTTCTTTCTATTCATTTTACTTTACTCATCGCCTGCTAAAATCAGTGCTTTCTTTTTGTCTTCTGTACAGTTACTGGAATCGATATTTGCTATAATCCTTTAACCTTTAAGGTGGCCTCAGTTTCTGCTATTGTTGTGATTTACACGATCAGCGCAAGGCAATACTGGACTTTTCTACATAATGATTTCTGCTGACCACGTGCAAAACAAATCTAACAGCCCTTTTATTTCAATGGAATTTCAGGTCTCCGCTATCAACACCAGGTCTATGGCTTCTATCTTTGAGTTTAGCAGGTGCTCGGCAAAGAAACGAAGGCAGCCTTTCCATACCAATTGGGTTGCGTTCAGGAATTATCGCTTCAAGTTTCATCATACAGAAGGGTGGCTTCCTGACCTACCGGGGTAACTTTCCTCCTTGGCTTATTGGGACACAGCCATTCCAACCGTTTAGTGGGCTAATTGGTTTTGCATTCACCTTAGTTTTAGCACTAGTTCTGTACCCTACACAGCCTCTTTGTGAAGAGAATGCAGAAAGGACAACTGAAGAATCTATAAAACAGCATGCCGGTGAATAGTGAGGCGGTCTTCTTGTTGCTTAGTGACTGTTTGCCCGGATACTTCCACCTTGTAACGGGAACAGCCTCGGGCCATGGAGTTCAAGCATGAAAGTTTCAGAAGAGATGTTTCTTAAAAGTTCAAAGTGCTTCATGGGAGCTTTTCATCGCTAATGCTACAACTCGCCAAGGCGACAGCCATGGTGTACATATATAAGACGCTGCAGGCAAATTTTGTAACTAGGAAATAACTGCACCAACGTGCTTGTAGTTTAGCTCATTTTGCTTGCTTGCTGTTATATATCATGTATAGTGTATAGAACGAACCACCACCAGTCTGGAACCCTACATTTGTTATATATCATGTAAATTCATTCTTATTCCGATTCCATAGACGCAAACAAGACATAAAAACGATGTCCGACAACTTGCCATGTTTTTCGTTTCGTGATTTCGTATATTTACAGAATGGTTCTACCTTCTTTGTAATTACAGAAATTCACTCAAAGTTCTTATGAGCCACAAGAGTGTGGAATCCCACTAGTCTGAATCCAGTCACCTTCCGGGAAGGTCCTTCCCCATGCAAAAAACAACCCAACTGTAAACTGCCTCACAATCTCCCCACTTTGACCACCCCTGGGGGTGTATCATATCCCCCAAATAACTCCTCATCACAACTGTCCGTGAACAGTTCCTCCATGGCATTCCGAAAAATGTCACGAAATTTTGCCTCTCGGTCTTGTTAAATTCCTGTGCAGGGACAATGGTGCACTTGTGTAGTGAAATGCCGGTGTTCTGATTCTGGTCCGTTCTGCCTTGAGCAGTGATTGTCACTTTCTGTCCGGGGACTGGTTTTCGCACAACCACCCCGCAGTTTTGGAAGACTGCAGCTGCATTTCCGAAATGAAATCAATCGTGCCTTGGATGATGCAGTCGCGGTAGCACTGGCGAAGCGAATGGACGTGGAGGCTGTCTTGGTATGAACTGAAGTTGCAGTGGTAGAAGGCAGAGTTTGAGGTCACTCTTGCAGCAACCGCCTGGAACTTTTTTGAGCCTGCCGTGTTGGCTATGGTCAGGTCCCTAGCTAAGAACTTATCCCCGATTACAGCTGCAATGATCGAAACAGGAATAAGTGTCACTTTCAGTCATCAAATTGCAGAAGCATCTGAAATCAAATGCCAATAACGCATACGATTTTCAGTACTTTTCGAAACCACGAATACGCGACATTCTTAAACACCAGCGAAGAACTATTCACCAGTAACAGCTGCAAACATCAGAACAAGGAAAGGGTTTAACTTTCTTTCATCAAATCTCAGATACATATAAGAAGAATGCCGCCAAAATTCAGAAACACCAAAAAAAAAAAAAAAAAAAGGGGCAAGAACACCATTAGAACCAAAATCAAAATCAAAATTTTCGGAACCGAAAAAATGTGACATACTTAAAGTGGCTGTAGCAAAGGTGGAAAATCCATCTGCAAAGCTCTTAGACCCTGTGATTATTGTTGATTTCATTCCATCTCCAACAAGCATGATATTGTATTTTTATCTGCCGACCTCTACAGTCTCATTGTAAACCCGAGATATGAGTAAGCTGGAGACTAAATTTGTAAACAAAATTTGCAAACTAAATGATGGGTCACCAAAAAAATAGAGAGCATTGCTTGAGGAAAGATGCTGAAGTTTCTAATTTATCAGCTTCACCTACACCTGATATGATCACTTTATGTATTTCACTGTCATTCATACTATACCATCTCAATCCGGCTTGGTCTCTGTTTGTTTCTATTTCAAACAATGTGCGTCTTCTTTTTTCTTTGTTTGATGCGGAAGGTCTCGGGTTCGAGACTTGGGAGCAGCCTCTCCATAAATGGGGGTAAGACTAGCCGACATTCACCTCTCCCAGACCCTGCGTAAAGCGGGAGCCTTGTGCACTGGGTACGACCTTTTTTTTTTTTGATGCGGAAGCAGTTGCCCTAGCACACAGACGCATGCATACCCCATGCAGACTTCGACATCGAGAAGAAATGCGTTGCTGTATTTGGATGGTGGCGATTTTCGACATGACACGATTGGTAAACAAGTGCATTTCATGCCAACTCGTTTAAAGGAGTAGTTTTTTGTTTCGTGATTTCGTATATTTACAGAATGGTTCTATGTAATTACAGAAATTCACTCAAATTGCTCGTGGAATCCTTTTCGTGTTAGATGTTAAGAACAATTGAAGCAAAGTTGACTTGAATTGATTAATGGGGTAAGAACCCAGGTTCAAACATTTCCAATGGGAATCGAAAATAAAAAGTACAAAAAGAAGTTAAAGATCCTTTGTAAATCATAATATATCCAAAATCCGCATTCGACGGAGGAAAAAACTTCACCCAGAGCCAACCAATTCCTCCGCCTCTTTATTTACTTGGGAAAACGTTCTCTTTCACTCCTCCACAGCAAGAGGAACAGACGCCGCCAGCTTGCTGTACTTGAGGGCGTAAAACATCTCCAGATAGCGGCGGCTCTCCAGGCGATCAAGGTTTGAAACATGCTTCCAGAAACCATAAACTCCGGTGAGGGTCAGGAGCCTCTGAGAGTAGATTTGCCATGTGTACCTAAACAAAAACACAGAGCAATTATGTTAGGTAACTTGCAGGGCAAGCAACATAATTTACTGTGAAAAGGGGGATTTGATTTTGCTTACTTCTCATAAATGCGCTGCAAGCCGCCTTGAGAAATCTTGTCCCAGTGGCTAGGATCTGCCTTGCTCTTCTCAAAGAAATCAACAAGGATCTCAGCGGCTTGATCGCCGTGATATGGATCAATGTGGTAGCCAGATTTGCCATGCACTATAATTTCAGCCGGGCCACCCTTGCAAGTGGCAAATGTGGGCAGTCCACAAGTCATGGCCTCAACGACAGTCAAGCCGAAAGCTTCATACACAGCAGGCTGCACAAAGGCTCCCTTGGTGTCACAAATGTAGCGGTAAAGTTCACCATTCCTGACACGGTTCATCTGGGAAGAAATCCATCTGAACTGCCCGTTCAGCTTGTAGGTGTCAATAAGCTCATACATCTTCTTCATCTCAGCCTTCTCCTCATTGTCCTTGGACTCCTTGCGGCGATCACCAGCAACTACAACCAGGTTAACCAACTCTCTGAGCTTGGCATTCTTACCATACCACTCGACAAGCCCAGTGATGTTCTTCACGCGGTCCAGCCTTGCCATTGTGAAGATGATTGGCTTGTTTCTGTCCTTCAACACACATCTGTTCGAATAACAAATATAAACCCATTAGTACACATTTGAACGGAAGATGAAATGAGCAAAACATAACCTTACCAAAAAAATGATGCGGAAACTTACAAGTGTTCCTTATTTTCGACTTGGCTGTAAAGGAGCTCTTCGATTTCAGGGTGGAAGTTAGTCAGCCTCTTTTCTTTCTCAGAGTAAGGGAAGTAGACGCTCATGTCAGCTCCTGGTGAAACAATGTTGAACTTGGGATCGAAGACATCAATACCATGAACAACACGGTAGAGCCCAGGAAGAGTAAAAGCAGTGTGGCTCTCATACTGACCAACAGTTTCTTTGCTGCAAACATTCATAGAACACAATTTAGGATCCAAAAGATGTGACGGTTGAATGTACGAAAAAATCTAACGCCAGGTGATATTATTACCTTCCAGCAATCTCTTGATAGGTACTGGTGATGATGAAATCAGTGTGGTTCATGGCGATAAGATCAGCTGTAAATTGGCATGAGAAGTGATAACTGTCATCCAATTTCTTCCAGTAAAGGTCAGAATCAGGGTATTTTGACTTCTCGAGAGCATGAGCAATGGTGCACTGCAGGACCAACAAAAACCGAACAACGAATTTAGCGACTAAGATGCAAAAGTTATCAAAAGGGTTTAAATAATTAGATCTAATCGGAATCACAATTCACAAACCTGTGTAACACCCAATTTGAGTGCCATCAGTGAGGCCACAATGTTGCCATCACTGTAGTTTCCGATGATGAGATCAGGCTTGCCATGCATTTCCTTGGAAAGTTCCTTGATCGCATCCTAATAACACAAAAATCGGCATGCATTAAAACCAAATACAAGCAAAAATTGGAATATGTCAGTGAAGGAAAAAAAAATAGGGAAACTGATATACATATTAACAGAGAAATTCACCTCGGCGTATGTCTCTAGGTAGGGCCAGACTTCGAATCTTGAAATCCATCTGCGGACAATGGCTCCTTTTTCATCTCTGAATGGAACACGAAGAATATCTGAATGCTCAGTCCCGTATACTTTCTCAAGTCGATCACCACATGTGGTTCCAACGGCATCAGGAAGAAGCCTTGTGAGCTGTGTTTAAAACATAATCAAAGCATCAGAATGGAGAGCATAAAATAAAATAAAGGGAACTTTAACGAAAATCTTCCGATATTGTTCATTTTAACGAAAAACCACATTTTTACACTAAAAATTCAATCTTGATACTATTCACTTTACCCTTTATTTTGTCCTTATCGTTAAAACTTAAAGTTTTCAAGTCATTTTCATTAGTTTTCCTTAAAATGAAATCACCCAATAACATAAATTTCAGATAAAACTCACAATGATAATGCGGGGTATGATATCCAGTCCCTGTTGCTTAACACGCTTGAGCATCTCAGCCTCCAATGCGCGAACTTGATCCAAGATATAGACAACCTGGCCACCGGTGTCAGGGTACCCCAAGACATTGTCTTGGGCGAAATAGCCGTGGGGGGAGAGGATCACAACATTAAAGACCATGGGGATTTGGTCAAGGAATTTCTCAAGAGTGCAAGGATCGGGTGCCTCAAGAAGGTCCAACAGAAGTTCGATCATTTCGAGCACACGCCCAGCAGTGTCACCCCAACCCCTTTCCAAGCCAATGGCTTGCAACTTGGGCTCGAAGTCCTTGTACGGAGTTTCAGGGGCAATTGCAGATAGGAAATCCTCTGCCTTCCTCAGAACATGTTGCAGCTCATTCACATCCTTAATTTTGTTATTCAGCATCAGGTTCTGCACGAAAATGCCGATCAGATTAAATACAGAGATCAGCAAAGCTGCACAAGAGTACTAATATCATTCACAATCAAAGATGGTAAAGTTGAAAATAGAGGAAATCATACCCTGCCCTCGTAGCAGTGAACACGGAGAAACTTGAGCAGCGGGTGCAGGCTCTCCTTGTCATGGAAGAGTTTTGCAGAAAGGTGGCGGTTGAGGAACTCAACGCCGTTTCCAATGGACTTGGAAAGAGTTGGGCGGGGGAAGGAGGCGTTGAATGGCTCAAAGTCCAACTCGAGCACAAAGTTGCCATTGGCACTGCAATTGAAACCAACACAAATTATTAACATCACAGACGGAGTTACAAACGGGTTTTATTCTACAATGCGATATTCTAAACTACTCTAATGAGTCTAATCTACGAACTCAAACACAATTAAGAACCAAATCGAAACTTTGGAAAT